CTGAAAAGATGTAATGTTTCCCTGGTGTGGAAGTTGGAAGTTGGAAACTGACCTACGTACCAAGGTAAAAAGCCTGATAGAGCTGCAAGGCTGTGAAATACAGAGAAGTTGCCCTGTGCACGTGCACTGAAGAGAGGCTGTTGAGGAGCAAACACAGGACAAGCGACTGGAAAGGAGCAAGGACAATCCTGTGCCAGCAATCTGGGAGAGGCAGAGGCTGTAGACAGCATTTAAAAAGGCAGGAAAGCCTGTGGGAAGAGGAGGAAATGGAAAGGATCAGTCAGGTGGACAGGTGAGTTGGGAGGAGGTTTAACTGATGACATTTGTAGGCAGTTTGCACGGGAAGGAAATTGGCAGCTCTCAGAGGAGAGTGATCAGGGCAGTGCAGCGCTGCTGGATGGCTTTGCTTAGTTGCTTTTATTTAAATAAGAAAAGTGGCAATGAGGTGTCTGGTAAACTATGCACTAGCCAAAACAGCCTTGAGCTCATTATCTATCCTTACTTTGCTGCACAAGAATGCAGCGCAAAGCGATAGAAGACACAGGTTTCGTTGTGCCAGAAGATCACTGTGGTGACCTTGGCTTTGTTTTTCTCCTACCAGTGTGTGGGAACTTGAGTTTCTGCCTTGCTTTGTACAGAGGAATGTACAACCATCAGAGGTGTCTGCCTGGGGAATATGAGATCAGTAACAAAAACAGTGGCTGCTGCACACATGGCTGGGACCGTGAGCTGGAGGTGATCCCCCATCCTGGAGAAACATCTCGTTCTTGGAGCTGTGTTGTTTAGTGCAGTGCACTTTGGACAGGATTGTTTTCCTGGGTTTCTCAAGCTCTGAGACACTGTTGGCACTTGGTGCTGAGGGTGGCACTTGGTGCTGAGGGTGGCACTTGGTGCTGAGGGTAGGAAGGAACTCAGTAAGAGACACAAGTTCTGGCCTCTCTGATATGTAGCAAGTTTTCTCAGGCAACGTAGGCCAAAAGGCAGGCATGAGAAGAGGAAGGAAGAGGAAAAGCATGGTCAGTTGGTTTTTTCCTGACTAATAATTGTAGAGGACAGTATTATGGAGTGCTCTTGGTCAAGTGAAGCCAATCTTGTGTGCTGTTTTTTTTCACTAGTAGAATATTTTTAAAGTCTGAGGACTGCAGCTTCTTTTCGTCAGAGCTTCTCCAGATAGGATCCTGGCACGTAGCCTCGCTGCCCGTTCCTTTCTGCTGTCCACCAGCCGTCCTCTCTTTCTTCAATGACAGCTACAATGTCTCCTTCCCTGATGTCCAGTTCATCCACGTTCTAAAGGAGAGAGGGAATGGAAACCTGGTTAGCTGGAGAGCGCGGGATGGTCTGAGCGTGTATCAAGCGTTTCACCCTGCCTTCCATCACCAGTCTGGCAATGCCCTTCTGGTGCCATGCCAGGCGGCTGGGGATTACGCACCTACGGAGCTGGCTTGTTGCCTTGAACTGCTCAGAAACTTCCCCTAGAACTGACCCCTGCGTGGTAAGGGATGGCCGGAGAGGATTAAATACCACTGTCCTGAACCAGCCTGCCTGACCTTTCCTTAGCCTGTAGCCCATGCTAAATAAAACAGTACAAAGTTTATTTCCAAAGGGAGATAAAAACAGTGCCTCCAGTCATCCAGGCCTTAAATGGGTCATCAGGTCTCCTAATACAGAATGATGGTTGACCTGTGGAGGTATAGTGACTCCTGAAAAATATATATATATGTGTGTATGTGTGTGTGTATACACTGTATACACACTCCTGAAATGGGTAATTTCTATCCCTAAAACAGAGCAGTTGCAAGCAATTCTGCATCTCAGTCCATTCAGTGGTCCTATTCTTCATTAGGAAACCATTTTTCTACCCACAGTGTAATAAAACAGAAAAAGGGATAACATAGTCTTCTAAAAATAGCTTTGCTGCCTTAAATTTAGATTTAGCTGATCTTGCTTACCAAGTAAGAATGGACTTGGGGAGAAAAAAGTAACTTCAATATATGCAGGGACTGAAAGCAGTGATAGGCTTCTTTTCTCAGCAGTGAAAAATCTTAGTGTGTCATATTCAGAAGTAATCTCTGGATTAGGCATCTGTTTCCTTTGAAAAAGGGATCCAGGGAACTGCCACAAACACTGAGGTGCTCTCAGTTGTGCTTAAAAGGTCTTTTAAGTAATAATAAAAGAAGGTTTTAAAACAAAATATACTTAAAAGGTGTCAGAATACTGCTCTCCTTTCAGCACATATTCAGTGCTCACAATATTGACGTTTATGGCCAGTCCAGGGAGAAAATCAAAATCATCAACCTTTTCCCATGAGGACCACTTGGCAGGGCACAGCAGATCCCCATGGGGAGGAGGCAGTTTGTACAGCCTGACACGGGGAAACTGTGACTGATTTAGAGACCTGTTTTAATGTGGGCATTCAGTCCAGGGCAGCCTGGAGGAGACCTTGGCTAAAGCCAGGGTGTTCATCTGAGGTAGGACTGCCCCATAGTGAGATCAGCTGGAAAAGCCTCCTTAGGCAGAAATCTGTTGCATATTCTTCTGATATAACGCTAATTTGATATGAAGGATCTGGAGACGCTTGACACAAGTTTTCCATGTGTTTGAGTCCAATTAGAAGGAGTTTGCAATAGCCAAGCACTGAATTAGTCAAGGGTATATGACATTAATGTGTAATCACTTGCAAAAACTGTTTTTGTTTCATCCTTCATCTTTGTGCCAAGAACTTGCAGTTGGGATTCCTGGCCTCCATATGTGACCTCGACCAGTAATTCTCTAAGAATCTCTGCCTGTAAAATAAGGTTAGCACCTCACAGAATTACCACTTGCAAGACGTTTAGGCCGATGATGTCTATTTTAAACCTGGCGCTGTACGAAATATTCGTTCTTAAGTTTTCAGTTACCTGGGCTCTGTAGTCATACAGTACTCTGTAGTCCTGTGATAATGTGATTCCTGTTTGTTCATTTACAAAAATGGATGCATAGACCCCATCTGTTTTCTCTGCTGGGGAGAGGGGGGGAAAAAAGAGAGAAACAAAGAGTTCACTTGCTTGTCAGTATATGGCATCATATGCAAGAGTTCACAAACACAAGGCCCTCTGTTCTCTCTGGGTGCAGAGATGTACATGTCTAGAAAAGCTGCTATGAAATGTAGGTAGGGTTTGCACAAAAACTGGGTCCTGTTGATTAGATGGTTAATTCGCTTGTTGAACTTTGTGGGAGGCTTTAGTGGGAAACTTGCTTTAGCTTCATCTTGGGTGGGGAAAACATTTCCCCGGATAAAACACAACCTCAGTGGCCTGAAAAATGAAATAACTATGATGCAGTGTGGCACAAGGCAAAAAGGGCTGCACAAAGATGACATTTGCCACTCCTGAGGGCCTTGCTCAAGAAACCCTTTCGCCTTCCTGTCTCCAGCCCCAGGAAGGTACCCTGATCTGTGAGACATACCCAGGCTATAGGCAGCATCCCAATGAAAGCAGAGGCAGCCTGCAGGGTCTCTTTTGCAGCTACAGGGGGATTATATGAGGCCGGAACAACAGGGGCCTCCTCAGATGTTGACTCCTTGCTTGGATAAGGCCTGGAGCCCTGTTAAATCCGTGTGGAAACGTTGTTTCTTACAATGCTACCCGTAGGCGGCCGCGATGCAGCTCTGCGGGACTCCCTGCCCTCAGGTTTGTGCTTGCAGGGCTGCTCTGAGCACCCTGGGAGGGGAAGGCAGCTGGTGCCTGGCAAGTCCCACTGGTGTTTGGTGGCTTGGAAGAGTCTCCCCTGGCTGGACACCAAATGCAACAACAAATTGGATGTTCTGCGCCCGCTTCCTGGGTGCCCAAGTGGGCAGGTAGCCCGTAGAGGGGAAACCAATACGTTTTAAAGCTGTACTGAACAGCAGGATTGGTTCTACAAGCAGAAATCACAGTTAAAATTTCTTTGTTTTATATCAAGCCAATAAAAATGTCATAAGCTGTTACTTTCTGCACGATCAAAATACTGTTTTAAATGTCCTCTGATAAATGCTTAGCCTCAAGGGTTGTGATAAGGCAGTGTAACTGTGAAACAGCGCAGATATTTGTATTCACAAGGCATGAAGCTGATCTGTTTAAAAACTTGTGGGATTCCCTTGTGCCTCTCAGAGGCAGCATATCCTTAGAAGAAAACTATTATCTAAGCCAGGCAGCATTGGACAGAATTTACAGTTCCCCCCTGCCTGGGGGAATTCTGAAAAATTACCCAACCCAAAGGTTATATGGATTATTTGGCCCTTTTAAACTGGGGAAGTGGCTTAATACACATCTGAGCTAAATTAGTTTACAGATTATTCTTCTTGACCGCCAATATGTGAATGCCTGCTCTACCATTTCTGCTCCATGTCAAAGCTTCATTTAGCAACATGATCTTAACCAAGCACATCTGGTAATTTTCCTTGCTGGAGAGGCATACCGAGCGGAGGCGCGGAAGGAATGACACTTTCCCCGTTGCTTTTGCTGCTCCCATGTAGTAGTCCGGAGAACCTGCAGAACCAAGAAAAGGCGGTGACAAAATGAGCGCAGGGGCCGGGCGCCTGCGTTGCTCCCTCTGCACGTCCCCGCTGGGTGCCCC